AAAGGCAGACATATTAGCTGAACATTTACATTAGGTAGGTGCACTCCTTGGAGAGAACAATCGTGGAAGAATAGAAGGCTGTGTATGCACAGGGATACAGCTCAGGGGGCAGGAGCACATGGAGGGAAGGACACAGTGAAGAGGTAACCATGGGGAGGAAGTGGGAGGAGAGCTGTTGCGTTGTGGTAAATTGTAGTCAATGTCAAGAGACAAAGTGTATGTGAGTTGCTGTATGGAAAGTGAATTTGCTCTGTAAACTTTCACCCAAATCAAATTTAGGAAAAAAAATCTGCATTTCAAGACAGGACCTATGGAGAAAAAAAAAATGACTCTGGCTTTTTCATTTCAAACAGGCAGTTTAGCTTTGGGTGCATCAAGGCAGGAAAGTCATGGTCCATGGAAAAAACTCCTTCCAGAACTGGAAATTTAAGGAAGCCAGTGAGGAGTAGGCTTATAGTAGTAGGCTGGCTCACTTGTGACCCCCTGGGTCCTCTTGAATGGAAATGAGGGAAGTGCAGCAATGAAGAAAAGGGCTAAGTTTGGTACTCTGTGACCTAGGCCGTGGAGGGTAGAACTGAGAGGAAGGGCTGGCTGGTCTGAAGTGCAAGGAGTTGTGTGGAACTAATGAGGACTAAGGATGAGAGAGAGAAGGTGCTGGCTGGTCTGAAGTAAAGGGAAGAGTGTGATTCCCAAAACTTGGCAGCTATACCCATGACCTAGCGAAGATGGCTAGCACTGAGCTGATCAGAACCCGACCAAATGAAGAGGTGATGTGTGCCCCTGAGCTGGTGTTAAGTTGCTGCAATTTGATGGATTGTGCTGGGCTGGGCTTTGCTTGTTTATGAATGCTGATGCCCAAGTTCCCAAGCAAAACAGAAGATTCCCCAGAGAGAAAGGAATATGCTTGTCTCCTCAGAGTAATTGTTTGATAGGGATGGGCAAGTTAGAAATTGGCTATCCAAAATAGGGGGTAATAAAGGCATGAAGTGGCTGGCTTACATGCTTTCATGGGTGTGGTTATTCTTAAACTGATTGTGAAGGTGGTATTTTTTAAGTACAAAAGGGATAATGGCTGGAAAAGCCAGGGGGGTGGCCTGTGATGTAGTAAATTATATGGTATGGCTTTTCTAGCCATAGTCTTTGTAACTCCCACTTTGCGGTGAGCAACTGAGTAGCTGCTTGTTAACATCATCCACCTGGGGCAGCAGGAAGTAATCTTATGGGAAACTTCATTCTTTCTCAGATGTGGGTGTGTAGAACTCTCTGATATTGGGATTCGATGGTTTTGCCACTCTGCCAGGCTCAAAAGGAGCCCTCCTAGAGGCAGAAGGAATATCTTTGACTGCCAGCTGAGAGAGACACACTGCTGAGAGAGATCTGTGCAGAGAGATGCATGGCAGAAAGAGAGATGTGCAGCTGAGAGAGAGAGAGAGAGACGGCTAAGAAAGACACCCAGTTGAGAAACCAAGTCAGTGAAACCAAGATGCACAAGACAGAGTGGCAGCCTTACCTGGCCCACAGAGGTAGAGGCCAGGCTGAGAGGCCAGGGACCAGAGAGGTGTGTCTAAGGGCACAACAGAGGGGAGACTGTCCTGACTGAAGAACTGTATCTTGAGCATGTTCCTGAACTTGAATTGTAGCATGTTGCTTCCCTAATAAACCCCATAATCTGTGAGTTTTGTGTGGCTATTGCAGCAAATTATTGAACCCAGAAGAGAGGTGTGGAGGGTGCCACAAGAGGGGCGATTGGTGTCAAGGTTATTAAGAGGCCTAAAGGGTGGCAGCATGTCTGGCCTCATTGAAACAGGCATTGGGCTGCTGATGGTGATTCTGTCTTCCACTTGTGAAGTTAGAGGAAGCCAGAATATGCTGCCTCCTTGCCTCTTTAGCAGGGAGTAAAAGATTCTCATTACTTTCATATTTCCTTGTTTAGAATTGTATAAAACCAACAAAACCAAACACGCTGCTATCAAGTCAGGTCCGACTCATAGTGACCCCTCCTTGGGTTTCCAAGGTGGTATCACTATGGAAGTTTGCCCAACCTTCCTTCCAAGGAGTGGCTGGTAGGTTTGAACTGCCAGCATTCTAGTTAGCAGTCAAATGCCTTAGGCACTGCACCGAGTATGTTGTTTTTATGTGCCATCGAGTTGGACCCAACTCATAGCAATCCCTCCTTGGGTTTCTGAGGTGGTATTACTGAGGAAGTAGATTGCCCAACATTCCTTCCAAGGAGTGGCTGGTGGGTTTGAACCGCTAGCCTTCTGGTTAGCAGTCAAGTGCCTTAGTCATTATGCTACCACAGCTGCTATGCCATGTGTAAATAAATAAATGAAGATTTCAAAGAGTATTCCATCTTTCAGGTCATTTTTTTAAAAAGCAAATTAAAATGATCTGGAGATTGATTCCTGGAAGGTCTTAGGTTAGAAAACCCTTTATTATGTTAAGTTTTAACTTTCACGTATATTATGGTAATGAATAAATGCAAAGATTCTCAATGTATAATAGTAGTGAACTAGTTAAATAAATACTATGTGACCATAGTTTAACTATTTATAAAAATAACCAATGTGCTGTAAAAATGTTGGTGATATATTAAGTAAACAAATCCGTTTCAAAACAATAGATAAAGCATTAGCTTTCTTTTGATAAATATAAATAAACATGTCTTTACATAGAACAGACCTTGGATTGGTCATAAAATTGAGGTTTCAAAGAAGCTGGAGTACAATTCTATTCTCTCACTGACCACACATTGACTTTAGGGAAGTAAAGTTAGTTTGCCTTTTGAAGCCTCTGTTTATTCATACATAAAAGGAGAATAGTAATAATACATAATGTTATATGGTGGCCAGATGGATTAAATAATATGTGCAAAGCCCTTACCATACTTCTGGGCACAAAGTAAGTGATCAGTAAGTATTAGATATTATTGATAATTTTGTTATTCACCGAAATGTTAACAGTGATGATTTCAGGGGAGGAAGTGTTTGTTTGTTTGTTTTGTATTTAAATGTTTTTTTAAAAAAATGTATGGGTGCTCTGGTAGCATAGTGCCTAAGGCACTTGACTGCTAACCAGAAGGCTGTTGGCTCAAACGTACCAGCCACTCCTCGGAAGGAAGATGGGGAAATCTACTTCTGTACTGATACTGTCTCGGAAACTCAAGGAGGGGGTGCTATGAGTCGGGTCCGACTCGAGGGCACATAACAACAACAACAAAAAAATGTATACAATGTGCATGTATACATTGTGTACTTAATCACATAAAGTGTGTAGGAAAATATAGGTAGATCAATAAAGATGGATATGAAAATAAGACCTTTAAAAAATATATATCTCTGTCCTTTGCTTCCTATCCCTGAACAAGTTTTATAAATATTTCTTAACCCTCCTTTGAAGTCCTGCCCTTAATTTCATCACTGAGGATTATCTAGAAGTTTCAGTTCTGGCACAGACTCTTGACACCACTCTTGACACCACTGCCTCTATCTTCCCTGCCCTAAACTCCTTTGGTAAATTTATGTCTATATAGCTTTCTCTTTATATTTTCTAGTCATTCTGTTGGCTTTTCCTTGACAGGGTTTACTTAGAAAACTCACTGCCATTAGTTGGTTCTGACTCATAGTGACCCCTCCTTGGGTTTCGGTATCTTTATGGAAGTAGATTGCCCATTCTGCCTTCTGAAGAGTGGCTGGTGGGTTTGAACTGCCAGCCTTCAGATTAACAGTCAAATTCCTTAGGTACTACACACATGCCAGGAATTTATTCTCACATGGGCTTATGATAATAGCACAAGGGCTGAGGTCACAGCACCACACATCAGTCCAACACCAGGGCTCAGTCACGTGGACCGCAGCAGCACACCATGTAACTGTTCTAGCATAGCCCTGAGAGATGTGGTTGCCCTGTCGGGATGCTAAGCAATATGATAAGTGATCATGTCAGTCGCTATTACACCTCATGTCATACACTTACAGTAGAGTAACCTTAGCCAGAATTCATTTCCAGTTAGTTATGTGATAGGTTCTGGCCACAATGCTAGCAAAACAAATCAGTACCTGCCTCTTATTCCCATATTCATTAACCCCTGTATGTCTCCCAAATCCACAGATGATATCTGTATTACCTGCCTAGACAGATCTCTCCCACTTCCACTAAAGTCCTTTCCTTTCTGTACCTCACCTCTGGCCTGTTCTGCTTGCCAAACCATGTTTGCTTTAGCATCTCAGTTATAAAAACAAGGTGTCATGTAGATGTGAAAGTTATCCAAGTGGGTATTGATGTTACTGTTCTTAAAAAGTAGGCTTGAATGGGAGTATGTTCCATTTTTTCCCAAAAATCATTCAACTGAGATAAGGAAGACAAATATTATTATCTCTTTGGCACAGAGGAAGAAATTATGACTAATCATCCAGTGGCATACAGCTAGTAAATGCTTGGACTCCAACCACATTTTGTCATTCTAAGTTCAATGTTACTTCTCTAAAAGAAGAAACATGCTAGATCTATTATTCCTAGAGCAGCACAGAAAACAAATCAACTAAGTATATAAAATAATGAAGAGATCCTGGATTCAAGGATCCCTTTTAACAATTTCTCTATTTTGTCCCTTCTTGCTTTGATTGTCATTTTAAGTAAACTATATTCTAGCTGCTAGTACATGTCTAGTTTTTAAATGTTTCAGTTAAATTGCAAGCAACTGTGTTTGTACTGGGCATGTAGCTTATTTAATAGCAATATAATCTATTAACATTTTTTAGGATGGAGAATTGCTTTAAAGTTCTTTATATTTCTTAAACTCCAGTAAACCACTGGTATCTTCTGGATTCCTAGTAGATTTCATAAGACTGGAAGATAATGAAAAGCTTTCTGCTACCTTCTAAGGAAAAACTGAGCATTCTTTATTTCAAATCATAATGAAGACTCAAACATACTTTAGAAATGTTTGACCACAAATATGAGAATAACTAAATTCCCTCCCCCTTTTTTTTCCTCCATAGCTTAAAGGGAGCTGATGCCGGCAATGGAATCAGAGTGTTTGTGCCTGATATTGGGATGTTCTTTGCTAGTCTGACCATCTGGCTCGTCTGCAGAAACATTGTTCAGAAACCAGTGACAGAAGATGCAGCACAATATAACCTGGAATTTGAAAATGAAGAATTGGTAAATCTTCTATATGTATCTTCCTTCTTTGATTTCTGAGGGCCATGCCCCTTAATCCAAAAAATAGCAAACTCACTGCTGTTGAGTCAGATCCGACTCATAGCGACCCCTCATAGGCAGTATTACTACAGAAGTAGATTGCCCAACCTTCCTTTGGAGGAGTGGCTGGTGAGTTTGAACACCACCCTTCTGGTTAGCAGTCAAATGCCAAAGTCACTATGCTACCAGAGCTTAATTGGTTGTGGAATCATAATAATAATAGCTAAATATGCATATCACTTTGCAATTGACAGTACTGGATATAAATGATAGTGGTTATTATGCACAGCAGCCTTGCACCTTACCAAGAAGGAAGTGGCTTCAGGAACTTGAACTCAGTGTTCTCTGTACTGTCCCAAACTATCATCTAATCTTAAATTAAATGACTAACCTATTATTGGGAGCTCTGGTAGCATAGTGGCTAAGGCACTTGACTGCTAACCAGAAGGCTGGCGGTTCAAACCCACCAGCCACTCCTCAGAAGGAAGATGGGGCAATCTACTTCCGTAGTGATACTGCCTCAGAAACCCAAGGAGGGGTCACTATGAGTCGGATCCGACTCGATGGCACACAACAACAACAACAACCTATTAAAGTTGCATTATTATTGTTCAATTGGTCTGAATATCTTGTTATTGTTGTGTGCTGAGTCAAATCTGACTCATAACTTCTCCCACGAAACAGAGTAGAGCTGCCTCTATAGGGTTTCCTAGACTGTAATCTTTACAGAAGTAGATTGCGAGGTCTTCCCCTACTCAGAACCACAGGGTTGGTTTAAACCTCCAACCCTTTGGTTAGCATACCGGTGCTTAATCATTGAACCACCAGGGCTCCTTCTGGATATCTTAATCATTGTAAGGTAACACCTGGTAGTTTTAGGAGAAAAAATAGTAATTTCTTCTTGAAAAGGGTTACCTTCAGGTCTGTGCACCTAGTTCTTCAAAGCAGTTGTATTAACTCAGCATGTTATGATCACATTATTGAAAAAAGTGTAAGAATTGAAAAATAATGAACAATTTCTCTGTTTTTAGTGAGTAGACACGTATTCAGGAGTGTCAGATTTCATTCCTTGGTGTATGGAAATATGAGACAACTCATTTCCCTGTCTGCTGGCCTGCTGTGGAGCACTGCTATGATTCAATAATTGCACAAAGTTACATGAGTTTAGGTAACATCAATTTTAAAATATATTGATTTAATAATCGAAAGGTGAAGTTTTCAAAGAAAAAGTACTATAAAATATTTGATTTGGACATTTTGCACAAGATATACTTATACCAAATGTTTTCAGTGATAAGCTGTGGCAAGAAATTAAACATATAAAACTGAAGTCAATTGAAATTATATATATTGAGCAAATAATCCCAGAAGCTGGACTATAAGAAGAACGCAGCATCAAGAATGGCAAACTGCGATATGCAGACTATACAGCCTTGCTTGCTGGAAGTGAAGATGACTTGAAGCACTTACTGATAAAGATTAAAGACTACAGTCTGCAGTACGATTACACTTCCACATAAAGAAAACAAAAATCCTCATAACTGGAACAATATGCACCATCACAATAAGTGGAGAAAAGTTGACATTGTTAAAGATTTCATATTACTTTGATCCACAGTCAACACCAAAAGAAGCAACAGGTAAGAAATCAGACAACTTATTGCACTGGGCAAATCTGCTGCAAAGGACCTCTAAAGTCCTGAAGAGCAAAGATGTCTGTTTGAAGAATAAGGTGCACCTAACCCAAGCCATGGTATTTTCAATAGCCTCATATGCATGTGAAAGCTAGACAATGAATAAGAAAGACCAAAGAAGAGTTAATGCTTTTGAGTTGTGGTGTTGGCAAAGAATACTGAAAGTACCATTCACTGCTAGAAGAATGAACAGTCCATCCTGGAAGATATGCAGCCAGAATGCTTCTTGGAAGTGGGAATGGCCAGACTTTGTCTCACCTACTTCGGTCATGTTCTCAGAATAGACATTCCCTGGGGAAGGATATCATGCTTGGTAAAAGGGAGGATCAGTGAAAAAGGGGAAGGCCCTCAACAATATAGATTGACACACTGCCTGCAACAAAGGGCTCAGGTACAGCAAGTATCATGAGGCTAGAACAGGACCGGGCAGTATTTCATTCTGTTGTACAGAGGGTCACTGTGAGTTGGAGCTGACACAACAGCACCTAACAACAACAATATTAAGAATGTTAACCACAAAGTCATCAAGGGATGAAAATTCTGTTACAGCAAATGACTGTACAGTGTTTTATAAACTGAAAAGCCAAATTTACTGCCATTTGAGTTGATCCCAACTCATAGCAACCATATAGGACAGAGTAGAGCTGTCCCTTAGGGTTTCCAAAACTGTAATCAACAGGAGCAGACTGACTCATCTTTCTCCCATGGAGAGGTTAATGGGTTTGAACTGACCATTTGGTTAGCAGCTGAATGCTTTAACCATTGTGCCACCAGAGTTCCCTAGTGTTTTGCAAAGAGGCAGCATATTGCCATGCATGTGTGACAGGAAAAAAAATATGTACAGCCAAAAATCTCATGAGATTCAGTTCTTTGTTTTGAAGATTTAGGGTAATGGTGGCATGGAACATCCCAGTTAATTGGCTTAATAACATGTTCAGTGCCTTTATTCTACCTCTTTGTTGAATAGTGCTTGGCATCTTAAAAGTTTGTGTGTGACCATGCAAGGAATAATAGTTGATCTCTATTCACCTGGAGCAACAGAGGAAAAAGGAGAGTCAGGAATAGGAAGAGGATATAGAATGTGTGGCTAATTACCTCCATGAACAACTGCCATGCTTGCCATGAGACCAGAACTAGATAGTGCCTGGCTACCACTAATGAACATTTTGATCAAGGATTCGATAGAGGAATCCTGATCAAAAAGGAGAAAATGCAGAACAGAATTTCAAATTTTTGTGGACTCCAAACTTTCTGAAGCCATGGAGGCTAGATGAATAGCTGAAACTATTGTCCTAAAATAATCTTTAAATTTTAAATGAAAACTTAAATCAAAACTGATGTCTTCTTTAAACAAAACAATACTTTAGTTTAACTAGTAAGCTCTGGTAGTGTAGTGCCTTGACTGCTAACCAGAAGGCTGGAAGTTCAAACCCACCAGCCACTCTTCAGAAGAAAGGTTGGGCAATCCACTTCCATAGTGATACTGCCTCGGAAACCCAAGGAGGGGTCACTATGAGTCAGGTCTGACTCAATGGCACATAACAACAACAGTAAAATGTCTGCCTTGAGTGTTGTTGTTGTTGTTGTTGTTGTTTTTAGATACTGTGGAATTGGGTCATAGAGACCCAATGTACAACAGAACAGAACACTGCTCAATTCTGTGCCATCCTTACAGTCTCTGCTATGCTTGAGCCCAAAGTTGCAGCCACTGTGTCAATCCATCTCTCTGAGGGTCTTCCCCTTTTTCTCTGACCCTCCATACTGCTGTGAGCATTATGCTTTCTTAAGAACTATCACTATGGGATCGAACTAATAATAGCAACTCCAATGACTAGAGGGAACCTTAGAGGGCTGTCAGTTTATATTAACTGGGGAGAAATAACTCAGAAAAGGAAGGTGAGAATAGTTGCACAACTCAGAGAATGTAGTCAGTGTCTCTGGAATGTATGTGTAGAAACTATTGAAGTGGTTTATGTTTTGCTGTGTGTGTTCTCAACAACAAAATAAAATAGAAAGAAAGAAAGGATATAATTCATTAAACTTATGCCAAGTAGAAATGATATTATTGACTAAAATCCTTATGGGTAAAAGTTATATAATCATATATATATATATTCCATATCAATCTTCTGCTATTTTTAAGACAAACATTAAAAGGTTCTAGAATTTGCTCCATAAACTTTCAACTAATCTCAATAATTTAAACAAAAGTTTCTTAGTGTAAAAAATAATTATAGTGAAATAGGAAATAATCTCATATTAGTAACCTAAAAATGGATAAAACTTTAAGAAAGGTAATTTAAATTTTGAATATCTATTTTTACCTTTTAATGTTATTTTTAAGTATCATTTTTAAAAAATAATTTCACATAAATTATCATTTTAAAAATTGTCTAAGTTTGGTGAAAATAAACCCATTAACTCAAGCATGCCTGGTTTAGGATATTTCTACTGTTAGGAATAAAAGATATTAAGTGAAAATTGAGTGGACTTTGAACTCAGATTTGAAAACTATCCCATAGTTGCTATACAATACTGAGAAAATCATTTATTCTGTTTCTTCTTTTAAAAAATGGCAATAATATTAATAATACATCACAGAATTTTTACACAGAATTAAGTATCTAGTAAAATGTATATCATAGTTCCTGTTCATTTTGGGTGCTCAATAAAATGCTACTTGTGCTCATTCTGTTCTCCTCCAATTTGAGAGATAATAGAGCAGCTGCAAACTCATTGTCCCCTCAGAAATACAGAAACTTAAGTTGGACTTAAGTTGAAACATAAGTTTGAGGCCAACCCAGTCAGTAAAAAAACTCCCTTCCTTGCCATTCAGAACATACCAGAGTAAACAAACCATGAAATTTATAAAAAGGACTACGTCATCAAGGACAAATACCCATTTGCCATAGGACTATCACAATAGAAGAGCCTGTGTTGATCAACCTAAAGCATTGGATGTTGGGCTATGATCAAAGTCATACTTCTGATGAAAAAGACAGCACAATTCAATTGCTTGTGTTAAGTCTAAAATTGCATGTTTTCTTTCATATTTCAATTTTCAGAGAGAAATTTATGCTCTCTCTCTCTCATTTGAACTGTGGTTATGTGTCTAAGCCCTAAATATTATTAACCACTTTATAAAAAGTTAACAATAAGCTGAATAGATACTCCAAATGCTATTTTGGAAGCCTTTGAAAACACTATATGCAATTATTATTAGGTTGCTCTTTTCTCAGTACAATTTGTTTTAAACCAATTTAGATA